CGGCGGTAACGGCGGTAACGGCGGCTCCTCCTCCCGCGCGGGGACGCGCGGCCGCCCCCTGCCAGCGCCGGGGAGCCGGCCCGCGCCGCGCGGCATGCCGGGAAGCCGCCCCCGCCCCGTGCCGCGTGCGCCGCGGCGGGCGGGAGGGCGGGAGGCGCCGCGCGGGGAGGGACACCCGGCTCCGGGGCAGCCGCCACAGCCCGAGCCCGTGGGGTTAGAGGGGACCGGGCTGTTTACAGAGCGCGAGCGACCCGGGGCCCCCAGCGGCTCGGCCCTGAGCCCGCGGGCAGAGCCCGCCACACGGGTGGGCTGTGAGTCACGGCGCGTGACATGTCCGCCCGGCCCCTGCCGTGTCGGACGCCTCGGCGCTGCGGGCTGCCCGCGCTGTTGGGTCCCGGCGAACCGGCTGGGGAGGCGCTGAGGGAAAAGGCTGGGCTGCGGAGCACGGGAAGGGCCGGGAAGGGTCAGCGAGGGGAATGTGCAGGGGCAGCGCTGGGAGTCACGAGTGGAATCGCGCAGATCCCGAGTGGGAGAGACGCTGCTGGTGTCTGTGGAGCAGAAACACCGGCTGAAATCGGTGGCAATAACTGCTCAATAATGAATGTAATTGCCTGCATTAGGCAGGCTTGTGGCACACTCAATGAAAACAGCATCCCAGCCTCTTTCCACTAGGATTTACAGTCATGAGGCACTTTTTTTTTTGTTTTTTCCTTAACAATTTTCCACAGACTGAAGTTCTGCTTCTTTCCCTACCCACTACAGCTGTTTTCAGTAGTTGATGCAGCTCAGTATCAAACTGCTGTGTAGGAATGACTCCCTTTGAGTCCTCTTTTTGGGGACTCAAGTTCCCCCTTTTTGCATTCTGCCAAATTTCATTTTTTGGGGGATTCCACCTCATTTCAAAGAGCTTTGTGAGTTATTCCCAGGGGACACTTTACGTTCCCCTMCACCCTGGTTCATCATCGCCCGCTAGGTTCACAAAAGGCACGTGGTGGAACTTCTCAGAGCCTGTTTTATCCTCATCATTTTCACCACTTCCCTCTGATGGGTTTCAAAATGAAGTTGTAACAATCTCTCTGAAACAGGCCCAGCTTTTATGCAGTAGCCCTGTATCAAGAGCAAACAAACATTTAAGACACCAGAAACTTGGGCTTCAGACCCTGTTCAGCCAGAAAGGCTCCCAGCCCTGTGGGACCTCCCAGGCAAGCACCTATTCTGGGTTACCCAACCCTAGAGTAGGAGTTACTCAACATTAGGAGAAGGGCAGTCAGGACTTGGGGATCATCGCAAATCTCTTCAGCCTTGGCCTGTGATTTGTTTCTGACACATTTTTTTTTCTCTTGAATGCGTTCTGTACTTCCCCAGTGTGCGATACAAGACTCCCTCGAGGACCCTGCAATCTGCTGTATCTTCCTCTTTCCGCTGGCCGCCGCGGTTGATCACACGACAGCAAAGGGTGACGGCCCGAGCACCCTTGTGTGAAGGGAGTGTTGCCCTCTCAGACAGAGGAGGCTACTGAAACCAGCTTTTCCACTTCACATGTGAGTAGTATAATTAGCATGATGTTAAAAAAGGTGTGCCAAGCTTCCCTTATTGAATATACTTCACAATGTTTCTGTTATTGCCTACTGTTCATGAAAGGGGAGTCGTACTGCCCGATTTAGCCATCTAAAAGTAAGGAATCTTGTCTAAGTGTGCGGTCTCAAATTGCATCTAATTCAGTGCAACTGCAGCTGGTACAGAGCGTAGCGGGGCTGCCCTCCCTGTACCCACAAACTATGTGCTGCCACCACATTTCTCATATTAGATTTGGAATTTGATCCAATTCATTTGTGGTTCCATAATTAGCTGATTCATCAGAAAACTACTTGGCTGCAGAAAAGTTCCCTACTGGATCATCTCCCCGACTTGACTCACCCTATATCTAGGTCCCGGGTGAGGGAAGAGGTGGGAACGCTTGCCTGGGGATAGCACATGGAGTATGGAGTAGGTCAACAGAAACCGGCATTTCCAGGGAGTGATTCATCCATGCGGTTTCAGACATGTAGCTGGAGATGCCCTCTGCAAAGTCTGGCTCTATTGATTTCATAGAGGAGCTTATCTGCCAAACTTGAAAAGAGCTAAATAGCATTACATGAGTCCACCTTTGGCAAATGTTTTCTGACTTGGATGGGTCCCGTCTGCAAACAGCAAATTTAAAGTGCTTTAATAGACACATACATACATACATACATACATACATATTACATTTCTCTAAATAAAACAGTCTCAGGTGATTAATCCAGATGGATCCGTTTTTGGCACATTTCATATTTTATATAGTGCAGTTGTTCAGATACTGCTATGTGATAAAGGGATGTATTCAGTTAATGGCCAGTGCAACTTACTCACTTCCTGGGTTTTAAAGATATGACACATTCTAAACTTGATTTCAATATGCGTCACTATCCAATAATGCCCCCAATATGTATTCAAGTCACATCAGAGTCTATATGTCACATTTACTGACAGTAGTAGGTATATTAGAAAATATTGCTTAAAAATGTATTTTTTTATGTAGAGATATTTCTGGAGGGAATGCTGTACAAGCACATTTGAAGAAGTTACATCTTTGTGTAAAAATAAAAAGATAGCAAAGACATTTTTTCCCAATATTTCCAATAGTTTAAACTTACTTTATACTTAGGGTATATCTCACAGTTTGCTTATTAACTGTGAATTAGAAATTAGAAAGSTTTTGAAAAGGATTGCTGTAAATACAGCCTAAGTACAGTGATGGTCAGAGGACACTGCTAGCAGTGACTGCACAGCAGCACTGACACATCAGAAAGAATCTGAAATCAGAAGCAGCAAAAGAAGTACAGTTTCTTCCTATTTTATTTTGTTTTGTTTTTTAGGGCAAGAATGGCAACATGAGCTAACTGGAGAAGTAATCCTGAAGAAGTACCTCTGAGAAGTAATCAAAACCAATGACATATCCCTATGAGTCCACTGATTATTCATCTAATATTGACAAAGCAATTGGAAAACTACAAAGATACCTTGAGCTTTCTTTTTATCTTTACTTTTTATTTTTATTCTATTAAATGATGTAACATTTTGATGTATAAGTAGCTGGGAGGGGAGGTGTTGTTTACATAATTCAGAATTTAATCCCTTTATTTGATTATGTCAATAGTTTAGTCAAAAGATTAGTTCTTGATTCTGGTTATATACACCACATCACTTCCCTATAGAATTCTAATGGGAAAGGGCACTTGGAAACAATAATTTACAAATTACAGTCTGTTAGGGAAGTTATGAGCCTATTTTTTAAAATCTCTCAGTTGATTCAGCTCTGCTTTAGACAAGCACAGTTTTTAGAGGACAAAACCATTATATCCATGGAGGGAAGGTCACTGCAGGACTATATACTTGGCATCCCCAGTTATTTTATTGGCAGCCTGAGTTTGCTAGTGGCTGCGCTGCGAAGATCGTAGAATCACGGAATCGTTTTGGTTGGAAAAGACCCTTGAGATTGCCAAGCCCAAGCGTGAGGCTGCCTGCTAACACACGTCCCCAGGCGYCTCCTCTGCCYGTGTCRTGGACCCCACCAGGGACAGGGCCCRTGCCCACCCACTGCTGGCGCGGAGGCAGCCGTGGGTACCCGCCGCCCTGCATCTCACTGGCACCTGGGTTRACTGCGTTTGCCTTGCTGCCTGCTGTGCACCTGGTTGTAGTACTAGGAGCGAGGCAGGAAAGAACATCAGAGCAAAAGAGGAAGGTTCAGAACGGAGAAAATGCCAGCAATCCATTTAATCACTGTTCTTGTCTTTGATAGGGCCAGTACACGATGTTTTAGTAGGCAGACAAGATTCCTTAATGCATAGTAAYACACTGACGTGGCTAAGGCCAGTTCTCTCCCAATCACAGGCAACAGGTGATGTTTAAAGTACTGACTGTGCATATCTCTGAATGGTTTCTTTCCTTAACGTCTCTTTCGGCTTTGCTGCAACTAAGTGTCCCAACAGTTTGCAAGTCCCTAAGTTGCATGGTTTACTTGCTAATTCTTACTTGTTTCATTATATAAGACAGTATATTAGATATATCCATTCAGTAAGTCTGGGGACCTGTGTGACACAAAACATCAGGCTAAGACTATCTTAATTTTGCTTTTTGGTCATATTATTTATGAATATGCAAGCGAGATTATATGGAGCATAGAACTGCAGTTCCTCAAATCCATGTAATTTTGGAACTAGGTAAGCATTCAAGTAATAAACTTTGTAAAGCAATTAAGTTTGCCCTGAATACATTAAGAAAATTACAGCAAACAAATTGCTAATTCATATTTGCAAGTACAGATGCCAGAAACACATTTCTAGGGTTTATATTGGCCTCAATTTTTCCATTTTCAAAACAGTACTTATTAACCAGCTCATAAAGTAACCTGTCATATGTTCAACTTGCAATTTTGTTAAGTCATTCTGGATAACAAGTTTGCCATTCTGAATACCAACACAGAATATGGCTATTATATTTCTCCTGTTGAGCTTTGGTCATACACCTCTATGGAGCTGCTGGGGTCTCGAGTGCCTGGTTCTTCCAGGGGGGAATCCCTAGGGATGCTGGCCCAGTGCAGCTGTGCCCACTCACTGGCACTGCCATGCAGAGGCTCCTGTCCTAGTGCTGGTTTTGCACCAACAGCTGCTCTCAGGGCAGCTGAGCCCAACACGGTCACTCTCCTCTGCTGCTAACTCACCAGATTCCAGCCAAGGATGAGGTTAAAATTAACCTCTCCTCCTCCTGCACTTTTCCACCAAAGCAACTGGGAATGTTTTGACTGGCCATAATGGGGGTTAGAGCAGGGACTGCTCCCCTCAGAAGGAGCCCTTTGGAGCTGAAGTATTTGAAATACAACTAAAGAGCAAGCAAAGACTGGGTGTGCTCTGCAACTAGCAATACAAGCASTCTCCTCTATAGCAACTGTGGTACTTGCAGGAAGTATTCTTAATATGACTTGTGTGTCATGTGAGCTCAGTTAAAAAAAAAAAGAAGAAAAAAAAGTATGACTTTTATGCTTTTTCCAAACACAGAACATAGTACGGTAATACTTTCATGTATTAGCAAAGTTTCTTCATTTAAGACAATGCATTTGTTTATTGTATATGACAGGGAAGGGAATGGATACATTTTTACTTAATTTTACTTACTTACTTTACATTTCACTTTAACATTTATGTCCTTTAACACCACAGTTTGGATTATACTTTTGCTTCCAAAAGGGATTAAATAGCACAGTATAAAATGGCATCTCAGACTGGCAGACCATAAAATAAGGATACCAGCATCTTTCAGATATTAGATTGTTATCATACAAATACAGCTAAAAGTTCACACCTGATTTTTTTCATATGTTTATATTAGGAACACTAAACTTCCACTTCAACCCATGTTTATGATACCTGTCTCCACCAACTACTAAACTGTGTAGCCTTAGGAGGAATCCTTTCTTTTTTGCAGTAACAATGTACAACTCCARCAGCTTCAGACATACCAAAGATGTCCTGATGTACAAAGACATCTTCAGGTTCTTCCTGCAAGACTTAATGCAATCAATACAACACTGCTGGGTCTTTTGAAAGCACCTCTGTCTCATACCTACAGTGGTAAATAAATAATGGATGTACARACCTGGTTGAGTGCACGAAAGTGATGAAACACGATGTTGCTCAACTTAGACATAGCTAAATACTGTTTACTTGCATTTACCCTTGGATACCTTGTTGATTACTTCATATCACAAACCTAAAATAGTAAGCAAGTACTATACATGTCTGTTGTCTCAAGTTTGTTCTTGCTAAGTGTGGCGGCAACATCAAGTTAACACAAACCAGAAGAACAAGAAGAATTTCCGATGTTAACAATTCACAATTTCTCTTTCTTCGGGATAGAAAATTTTCATCTGGGAATTAACAATTCCATAGGTGTGATTCTGCAGGGTCTGTACTAAGCAATTGCTGCAGCATTTCATGGTAATGACCTTCCCTTGTGATAACGGAGCTGATAAATCGTATTATTTTCAGAGCATGCCAGCTTTCCATTACATCAGAGTGTCCCCATCRTGGCTAAGCACATTCTGTAAATCAGAATTGCTGTAGAACAGTGCATAAGAAAATAGTTTTCATAGATTCACTTGTTATTCCTGAAAATGAACCAGAAATAAAACCCATTCAGGCTGATAACATGCTGACTATCTATTTGTTCAATAACAAAACCTATAATGTAAATATACATTGGTACTATCAGTAATGAACAAAGTAAGGAAAACTGTTCATTTTTGTAGCAGCAGTATAGCAGTGTTCATGGTTTGGGACTGTAGTGAGTACAGGAGGAGAACACCTTGTGTAAGCTGGGAATGAGTATGAGACACAGTGGGCTCATCTACACTACAAAAGAGCCTGAACCACCTATCTTACAATGTATTAAGAAGGGTGATTTCAGTCCGTATCTGAACAACAGTCAGCTTGAGCTAAATTGATGTCAGTCATAATCTGATTTAAAAAGTTGTACTGACTTAGATAATGCAATGTATAAGCCATTTTAGTGCTGTTGAYTTAATTTCTACATGTAGATGAAAATTGGCTCATGAATCATTTTGAGATTTTTTGGGGGCCAGATGGTGCTAGGAGGGTTGAAATATTGAAGACATTGAACTCTGAAAGAATCTGATGATGAAGTACTTTTACCACTGTATTTTTTTTTCTAGGGCTTTTTTGCCACTACTATAGTTATATTTCTAATTAGACACAGATAGTGTACTAAATATTTTGAAAAAAAAAGATGACATTTTGTCAAATTTAAAGAAAAGATCTAATAGTGATTCTGAAACTACAGACTAGTAAAYCACAAATGTATACACGGAAAGCATACAGAAAATGTACATAAAAAAGAACTATAAAAAAAAAACTTATGACAAGGAAGTGATGTTTCAATATAGCAGTTCCCATTGCAATTCCTGAAACATGTAATTACATGAAAGAATAAAAGATAAAAATTATTAACATAGCACACATTTTCAAACGGCTGCTGAAAAACTGTCACACAGGAACCACCAAGGATATRCAGTAGTTACAGATTAAGGAACAAATTGTTTCCATGGATGAAAGCATGGGAGAGAGAAAGAAAGGGCAAGAATTTCTTTGTTGCAAGAAAAAGAACTCAGTCATGTTTTTATGAAAATTCTGTAATAACTTTGGTGCTTAATATATTAGTGAGACACTGATCTGTGTGAAAACACAGATAAACAGTGAGAAGGCAAAATTTGCAACCAGCATAAAAATGTTTAGTTTATTCAAACACAGAAAAGATTGTGAGGAACTTTAGAAATCTCTAATCAACTGGATGACCAGGTAATGTGACAGTAAAAGAAATTATATGTTCATAAGAGGAAACAATTTTAGAATAAAAGCACCCGGTTACTTACCCTCACTAAGACATTCTTAACTAAATCAAATCAGGACAAACCTGGACATCACTGCAGGAGATTCATGCATCCAAAATCAATAATGGGAAGGAAAATGATACAGAATTTTGATGAAACATATCAATCATTGCTTATCATATTTCAGAGTTTCAGTACAAATGCATGGAAAACATCCAAAGGATTTGAAATAAAATAAAATAAAATAAAATAAAATAAAATAAAATAAAATAAAATAAAATAAAATAAAATAAAATAAAATAAGCTTACTATGAAAAGCAAATAGAACTTTTTCCTTCAAATCTGTTTTGGAAAAGCTCTCAGAAACAAATGGCAAAGATTAGAACTGTAAAAAAATCACAACTAATATTGAGAATTTCGATCAGGTAGTACTTTGTATCATCCTTGCATCAAATTTTAAGTTTAGAAAGGCATTTAATGAAGTGACAAGTTGGCAAATTCAAAGTGAGACAGTAAGACTTTTCACATAAAACATGTTTAATTTTTGATACCTGTGTCAGCACCATATTGCTGCAACCAAGAATTTAGGAATGTTTAAAGATAGAAATGAAATTTGCAGGAAAAATAGAGTAAGAGAACCCATCCTGTAACTGTTACATGAAGTTAAAACTTAGGATCAGGTTTCCTTGTATTTGCTCCCTACATTATTTCTTGCACTTTCCTCTCAAGTACAAGACCAGCAACAGGTAGGTGCTAATCAGGTCACCAATCCTGTGTGTTAATTCCTGTGTCTGGATGTGTTAATTACAGGGTTCCCAAAGTAGGTGAGATTTATGACTGCTTGAACACACGACGTGCCTTTTGCATATTCCATGGGCACTTCCTAGATGGTCCCACTRGCACATCCGTAGTGCCGTATTGCTGGGTATGCACTTTGCACGCACATATTACAGACCTGTTGTGCCGGCGGGTGTGTTGTTTTGTGGCCGAAAGCTGAAGAGCTGCTTCTGTGCTTCGCTGTGGAGGGGCAGAGGGGCTGACACCCAGACTGCCTCCAGCCAAAGGCCCAACAGGGTCAAACTTCTGGGACTATCGAATGTTTAAGCAGCGGGACTATTCCCCTGTGCCAGGGGAGGTAAACTTGGGAGTCTTGAAATCTTTGAGGACATTTTGGAGACGCCTTCTGATTTGCCCTGGGAATTGTGCGCTCCGTGTGCACAGGTCRCAGGGACATGGGCGCACAGGCAGGGACAGGGGTTGCTGTGCCTGCCTAGGGGATCCAGGAGCCMTGAGGTCCATCTACACAGCCCAAAGCAGGGAAGAGTGCAGCTGCCCACGTCCCTGTGGAGCCACATGGAGACGGCTCCTGTCACCTCCATGGTGTGGGAGCCAATGCTGGGGCTTAGGTGCCAACAGCCATTTCCAGCGTGTGTGCGGGCAGAGTGAGCTGAGAAGGGCCCTGTTCGAATCTCACCCGTCAGCCCATCAGGTGGGTGCCCTCCAGCACCGGCGAAACGCTCCCCCGGGGCGACGCGAGGCCGCCTCCGCAGCGGGCAGCCGCGGGCCGCCCTCCCCCGCAGCCGCGGCGCGAGGGGGCCGCGCCCGGCGCGCCGTGACCCGCGCAGCCCCCGGGCGCCGGAGGGAGGAGCGCGGCGCCATGTGAGGCGCGGGCGGCGGCCCCCGGTGAAGACGGATGGGCTGTGAGAGCGGCGGGGCGCAGCTGTCAGCGCGGCCGAGCCCCGCCGCGGCGGGAGCCCCTCCTCCCGCGGCCGTGCGCCTTGCGCTCCCTGGCCGCGGGGGAGCCATGGCGTCCAGCGAGGAGGACGGGGGCGGCAGCGGCGCGGCGGAGGAGAAGGAGCCCAGCAAGAAGAGGCGGCTGGGCGCCCTGGCCACGGCCTGGCTCATCTTCTACAACGTCGCCATGACCGCGGGGTAAGCGGCGGCGCGGCCCGCCCGGCGCCGCGGGGCCGCTCCTTCCTCAGCCCCTTCCTCCCTTCTTTCCACTCTCTCCCCCCACTAACGTGTTTAGGGGAAGAAACT